CGGCACGAATCGTGGCGCATGGCCCACCATACCCGTAGGTGCCGAGCCCTGTGAGCTGCCGTCGGGCTGGGCGCGTTGCTGCTGCTGCTGCTGCTGCTGCTGCGCTTGCTTGTACAGCTGGATGGCCAGGCTATTGATCTGCTCCTGACTCAGGTGAGATGCAGCGAGCGTGATCGCTAGTTGCTGCTGCAGTGCATGCAGATTGGGCGGGGCTGAAGTCGGCGCGGCCTGGGTGGATCCCAAGTACGATGAGCCGGGGCCTGCTGCTGCCACTGCCGTAGGCGGTCGACCGACGGCATTCACACCGGCAGCAGCAGCATTCGTCACGGGTATCGCAGGCGCGGCAGACGTGCCGATGGGACTGGGTGTCCCGGTTGGCTGTGCGTCGAATCCAACACCTGCCGGAGGTGGTCGAGCTAATCTCGAAGACGGTGATGCGGAAGATGCAATCACAATGGGCTGTGGTGGACGTGGCGGTCCCTGTGTGGTCGAAGCCACGATCGGCGAACCTGTGGGCTGCGTTGATGCCTTGAGATTAGCGGCTGACAACGGTGACGCGGACGTCGCAGCGGCGATGGCGGCCGAATCGACGCCGAAATATTGCTGTGCCGCCCGAGCCAAGGGCAAAGACGGTCCGGCCATCATCACGGGCGGCTGTGCTGGCGCTTGGGCCGGCTTGGTCGCCGCGGCAGCCGCCGTCGCCGCTCCCTGATTCGCTGACATAGCTGCAAGGTACTGTTGCTGTGGAGGGAGGGACGTAGACGATGGCGACGATGTGGCTGTGACATGAGGTGGCGCTGGCGCTGGACCGGAGGTGGACCGGGACAACAGGGCTGCCGACGCGGCTGGGGATGGACCGCCGCCGCTAGGCGTACCTGCCGCTGAGGGCGACTGAGCTGCTGCCACACCCGCGGCGGGTGCTGCACCACTGGCGCTGGCCGACATGGCCACAGCCGCCGCCTTGCGATGGGGGTCGTCGTTGGTCTGTGCCGCCTGCGCCTGGACCAACTGCAGGCGCTGCTGCTGCTGAGCGTAGGCAAACTGCGCCGCGCGCTGCTGCTCAAAGAATTGCCGAATGGCCGCCTGATCACGCTCGGCCTTGAGCGCACTCAGAGCCTGGGGCGTCGGTGTTGTTGTCATCTTGACCTGTGTGTGCGTGTCGTGGGCCGTCAGATTCGCTCGCTCCATGGACGCATTCGCAGCTGCATTCGCAGCTGCCTGCCGCTGGATTTGCTCGCGCCGCTTGGCCCATTTGCGCATCATATCCAGCAAGTGCTGCCGGTACACTTGTTTGCTGTCACGGGGCGCTGGACGTGGGGGCCGTTGGTCGGCGGCGGTGGCGAGCCATTGGCATCGGTCGTAGCAGTCCCATGCCGTGCGCTTCTCTGTGGGAATGACGAAACATGCTGCATTGAACAGATCGGCCACCAGCGACCAATGGTCGTGGTACTGCTTGGCGAGCGCCTGCACAAACGCATCCTGCTCACTCGACCACGACAGTTGTTGCACGCGGGCGTCTGGATGAGCAGGTGCGGTGGGTATACGAGGGCCAGCCATGGATTCTCGAGGTGTTTTGCCTGCGCGCCGTGAAAACAGCAGGGACCCGGGCTGCACGCCTGCCACATAGGGCGGCGATACCTCAGGTGCATGTGGCATACGCTCAGCCCACTCGCTCGTATCGACCCAATGGCCATTCTCGCGGTATCGCGCCGGATCAAGGGTGCTTACCAGGATGGGCTTAGCATCCAGCAGGCGCGATACATGCACGAGGCGGGTTGATTGCGCCTGCGACTCGTCCCGCCGTTTTTGTGTCGATGGGTCGTCCGACGCGTTGGGTGGCGCATAGGGCGGTAGTTCCGGAAATAGCTTGTCAAAGTCGAGTTGTTCAGGATCGATGGACGGCGCATGGTCCATGCGCATGAGCGCAGCGCTCGTTTGTGGATCAAGGTGCTCTAAAAGCGACCATGGCGATACAGTCGTAGCCGTCGTGTCCAGGCTAAAGATGGGGGCACGGATCGCCGTGACGAGGGCTAACGGAAGCTTGTCTGACAGCGTCGTTTCTTTGTTAGCGTCAGAACGCATAGGCGGCACTGGCTCGTCTGCCTTGGCGGGCGGCTCGGTGTATGTGAGGCGCGGCATTGTTTGCGAGTCTTCTTCACCTTCTGCATCAGCATCAACGTCGATATCAGGCTCGTCCCTAGGCTGTTCGTCTTTGGGTTCGTCGGCTGAGTCGTCTTTGACACGGGCTTTGGGATCAGGGTCAGCCTCCGACTCAGGCTCCAGCTCCAGTTCCGGTTCCAGTTCCCGCTCCCGCTCCGATTCTGGCGCAGGTTCCGGCTCCTCCCATTGCATGGGCTCAATACGGCGTCGCGAAACGCATAACGAAGCCCGCTCTTCAGGTGACGACCGATGCCACTGAGCAATTTGATGCGCAAATTCGTACGCCATCGCCAATTTCCACTTGCGCTCTTCTCGAAAATCTGTCTGCATCCACCGCATTTCCTCCAGCACAAAGTCCCAATGCGTCTTGCGCTCAACCCGTCCCTTGACCCGCTTGGGCTGCCGGAAACTCCATAAGCCCTGCTGCTTCATATCTTCCATGCGCATCATGGCGCGCAAAAACTTTTGTTCTGTAAAAGCGACTTTCCAGTCTCCCGTCAAAAGACACTTGCTGGCTTTGCGGACCAAGCTTGCACTAGGACATGCACGGATCCGCACTTGCCAACGCCAAAGGTCTGGTCCTGCTGAGCCCTTGACAGGCTTGGCCATGGGCCCAGGTCGTTGTGTGCTGCGCCTTGTCCGGTGATGCACGGACCCACCGCCTGTGCCGATACCCGTGACACGGCGCGATGGGTCTGGAGGAAGGGGGCGTAAGGAAGAAGCATACGTGACAGAGAGTGGATTGGGGGCGAGGGTTTGGAGGGTAAGTGGTGGTGTGGGATTGGGCAGCGTCTGATCGTATTCGACAGGCCGGGGCATCGGCGAGGGCGGCAGACGCACCGCCGCATTGCGCGCAGGATGAGGTGTGTTCTTTGGTTGCGACTGAACCTTGAAAAGAGGCGCGGGGGGTGGTGGAAGCTGCGTCGTAGTGTCGGAAGGGGGTAAGGGTGTTTTTTGTTCAGCATTGCGCGTGGCATTCTCGCGCAACAGTGTCATGGTTTGTGCAAGCCGCTCAGATAGCTCCTGGACTGCATGGTTGGGGAGCACGAGTTTCGGCAATCCAGCATGCTCATCAGGCACAAGCGGCGCCGCTGGTGGAGCGTACGCCGCAGCATGCGCATCCGCTTCGGCTGTTTGAACGAGGTATAGCAGCTCGCGGACGTGCTCACGATGCGACGCCACGATCGAATTCAATTGAATCTCAGTCTCACTTATCGTTTGCGCTCGCACATCGTCAATCGTGACGCGACTTGTCGTCGCGTCCGACATGGTCGAAAAAGAAGGGGCCGGTCAAGCGCGGATGAGACGAGCCCAGGCTCCATATATTACATAAACATCTAGACTACACTACAAGGGGCAAGGCCGTTGCTGCTCCGAAATGAGGCCGGCCAGGACGGTGACGTCATCGCTCTTGCCACCGACATAGTACATACCCTCCTCATTCGCATGCTGTTGAAATGGACTGGAAATCACGCGCGGGTCGTCCATGACACTGCGTGCTAAGCGGCATAGGCGCTCGGATAATAGGGAGGGCGCATACATTTGCATGGCCTCGAGGTCACTGCTGGCGAAGTGCGAGAAAACATCGTGCACGGTGTCCATGATCTCGTCATCGAATAGGTTATCAAACAAGCCGTCGCTGGCTATGAGCACGAGATCGTCAGGTAGTACCTTGAGCTCCCAATGGCCAGCATCGTGCTGCGGCGTATCGTATGGCAAGTCATCCTGCGACGATATGCGATCGTACATGTGGATGTAATTGCTCATGCTGTCATTGACATCAGGCAGATCCATATCGTGCGCGCCAGCAGGAATCATGCCGCTTCGATGCATACACAGCGCCCGTGATAGCATCACACTCTCGACTGTAGCGTCCATCATGCCCAGCTGCAGCGGATAATTGAAGCTGTGTTGCTGCTCGGGACTCCGGAAAATCAATGCGCCATCCCGAATCAAAAAAAGAACGCAGTCGCCCATATTTGCGATCCGCAGTTCATCGCCACGCAGAATCGCCGTCAGAGCTGTCGAGCTCCCGAGAATACCTTCTCGCTTGGACGCACGCACACATCGTTCCCAGGCCCTCTGAAGCATGTCAACGGGGTTGCACATAAACCATTCACTCAGAACGTCGTCCATGACTTGCGGGTCGTCCAGCGACTGACACAGCGTCTCGTCTAGCTGCTGCAATTCTGCATACAAAAAATGCATGAGCAACCGTGAAAATAGCGATGGATCAGCATGTGGCTGAGCGGCCCAGCCACCCACACCATCAGCGACACCCATAGCATCATTTTTCAAAAAGTAAGCATCCTGGCCGACACTCTGGCTTTGCAGGCGTGTCTTTACGATCCTACCATCACTTCGAATCGCTGATTGCAGTCCACAGCCATGTAAAGAAGCCAATGAGGATGGCAATACAGATACTTGGTCAGGCGAAGGAAGAGGTTGGTCGTCTTTCTGCCCGCCCAGAAAAAAGTCCGTCAGAGGACCCAGGAATCCGTGAGACGAGGTCTGCTTACCGTGCACAGGTGGCCGAGATTTGGGTATACCATACGCACCCGCGTGGAATACGTACGTAGTCGTTTGCCCACCAAAGCTGCTCGAGTCAAAGATCTGTTTTCTTGAGCCGGCGATCGACGCGGGAGGTGCATTCCAAGGAAACAAACATCGCCCGTGCCATGTGCAAAGTGTTCGTCTTGGCACACATATCTTTGCGCGCCAAAACGCGTGCATGCCACGCGGCGCAAAATGAGGGTGACCAACGTGGGTGGTAGCAACAGCACCCAAGTTTATACATGGGCACTCTAAGTAATGTCATCCAGCGGGCTAGACAAAGCCATGACAAGGTGCCGGAGAGGTTAACGGGAACGCCTAGAACTTTCGGTTCTACACTGACTCAGTGACAAGCGTTTGGTCTTTGACCGCACAGGTTCGAATCCTGTTCTTGTCGAATTTTTTTGTAATTGCGTTGAATTTTGTAATTCCATTTTGTCCTTATGACTCCAACTGTCCCCTCCGGGCCAGGTGTGGCGCTTGTGATCGTTGACGTCCAAAATGATTTTATCGATGGAACGCGTAAGTAGGTGCGTCTAACTGTTAGTGACGGTGCCTGGTGGAAAGGACATTATTCCGAGCGTGAAGCGCTTAGTGAACGAGTTTCCCTGCTCCTGTATCGTGGCGACCAAGGTAGGTCATGTTCTTGGCTTACGATAGGATTTCCACCCGCCTAACCACGCGTCGTTTGCATCCACGCACGGACTTGAGCCGTTCCGATTACATACCATTCCGCATCCTTACGACCCACGCGCATCCCTTCCGCAGATGCTCTGGCCTGATCACTGTGTGCAAGGTACGCGTGGTGCCGAGATTCACGATGACGTTCAAGCTGCGCTCGATATGCGTGAAAAGGCTGGCACACCTGTTTCTTACGTGCTAAAAGGAACAGACGCTCGTGTGGACAGCTACTCTGCCTTTGCGTGCGCCGATTATTTACAATTTACCAATATGGCGTCCATCTTGCATCGTGCCCATATCCACACCGTGGTGCTGTGTGGCCTGGCGACCGACTACTGTGTGCGTGCTACAGCCGTGGATGCTGCCAAGTTTGGGTTCCGCACGTATGTGTTGCAGGACTGCATCCGTGGCGTGGACCCTTCGACGACGGCGGAGGCTGAACAAGTCATGTCCTGGTATCAAGTTTCACTATGTACATGGTAGAGATCTTGGTACTCATCCTTCCATCGCTGTCGCCGCGAGAATAGGGTTTGAACGATTTCGAGCAAAAACACGAAAAAGATAAACACGATAGCAAGCGAGAGAACGGCAAGGAGAACGAAGCCAACGATGGCGCGTGGAATGCCCCAGACGTTGGCTTCTGTGGATAGAGCAATACACAAGGCCCATATAACTACGCGGAATGCGCACAGCAAGCACTGTACCACATTGCTTTGGATATCACGGCCAGGTCGGCACACAACCAGCACGGCAAAAAGCAAGACATCAATGACCAGCAAGCCGGCGCTTTGCCGCAAGCCATAATCATGTTTCTGTGCAAAGCCGATGAAACACGCACGCAAAAACATGCAGCCATGCATAATGGTCCAAAACCACCAATATTTAGGCCGCCACGGATGAGACATGGAGCCAATATGCAGGGCCGCCGACTGCAAATCCCAAGGCTGCGAGCGAATATAGTAGAGAGAGTCGGGTCCGCTGCGGTGCACTTGGACCCATTGCTGAGCGAGAATAATGCTCCATACGCAGACGATAGCAAAGCATGTTAGGGCTGCGATAAAGTGTGAGAGCCATCCTGTGGAATGTGCGAATTGGAAGAAGGCAAAAATGAGGATGGGTGTCATGGCGGACGCCAGTATCCTGAGCAGCAAAGGCCGAACCCATTGCACATACAAGCGCTCGAGAGCATAGGGCATAGGCGTACGAGTCAAAAAAACCACAGGGATAGTGGCCAGTAGCGCCAGGCCTATGGCGATACAGATTGCCATGAGCCAGGTGACGAGGGATGTTAAAAACGCACTGTACGGTGAGATGTTGAGTGAGGCCGCATAATAGAAAATACCAGACTGTGAGAATCCATCCATCGCGACAGCCCACACCACATTGTCCGCGCTCTTGCCAGGATCCATCTCGCCACCGGGCCCTGTATTGGGCGCATACAGCTTTCGACGAAGCAGCGAGTTGAAGCCGAGAGATGAGACGCCATTGACGTCAAGCACCTCAGCGGAGTCATTTCCATTCAGCATCTCAGCGGGAAAAAAGTTCGCAAGTCGACTGTACTCGGCCTCCATGAGCGATCCAAAGTTTACGTTTAAATCATTGCTCCCTGTGTTTTGGCGGGCGTCGAAGATCGATGAGACAATTGACTCGATATACCACAAGCCCACAATCCAGCCAAACCGCCTTGAAAATGCGTGCACGACACGAGGGACAATGATCGTGAGCATCGATGCCATTGGCGTGAGTTGCATGGTGGTGACGACATCTACGACGCGCCATTGCAGGGGGGACAGTGAGTTTGTCCATGCAGAAGTGATAAGTGAAGCGACTGTCGCAGCGATGACAAAGGCACCCACACCATATGTGACACCCGGGAGATCGACCGTCATGGAATTGGAGATTTGAACCTGGATACAGCCCCTGGGCTTCTTCGTTTGGCTATCATAGAGCCGCAACATAGCAAGCGCTTCAATGTCTGGGACGGTATAAACAATTCGTGGAATATCGGATGAAATAGAGTCAGGAATCTGCACCTGCGCTGAGCCAGAAAAATTGTAATTCGGGATGTGACAAAAGGATCCGCTGGCCAGGGCACACAAGTCCTGATGTACTTTGACGAACTTGCGGCCGTACGCATACAGCAGGAAATCCGTGTCATATGTTAGATCCGTCTTCGTAGAAGACAATCGCACGTCAAAAGCAAGGGTGTGCGTATCGTCATTGTACTTAAGATCGAGAGATTGGAGAAGGAGCGGACCGGGCGCTTCACAGTACGCCACACTCGATGTGTACAGCGTGTGATTCGGATGAAATATGTCACTGTGAGATGCTTGCACCTGCTTTAGGATGGCCATCGCGCCAAGAGCGCATAGCGCAATCCCGAAGTGCATTCGCATCGTACACACTCGGATCCAAGTCAGTGGCGTCGGACCGTGCCGCGTGGAGTGGAGGCTCTGATGCACGCCACGGACGCCAGGCAACGTGCTGCACGGAGTGTGCTTACTCATCATTCGAAGCCCACGTGAACACACCGTGCTGGCATTCATTTAGTTGCGGCGTCCTTACCTAGGTTGTTCTAGACGACTGCGGGACGTTAGTAGTACCGATGCAAGAAGCTCCTTCTGCTGGTACTATCGGGTCCACTGCACCAATGAGCTTGCCTAGGCCCATGGATGATCCATTTCCAAGTCTGAATCAGACTAGCGGTGCAGATGTCGATGTGGCACCGCAGCCCAAAAAACCGGGCAAATCACTGCAGCCAGACATAACCTCAGAGGACATGTTTCCCTCGCTGGGTGCATCTCGGAGCAGCGCACGTATTTCTGCGCCTAAAACGGCTGCGCCCATGATCCAACGCGTGATGCATCAGACGACTGTCACCATGCACCTGTCAGATGAGCAGCTCTTGCGCCTCAGCTCGCTCCTTCAGCGCGTGCAGCAAAAGTGCAGGTCGGTCAAGATCGAAGCATCAACGATGCGCAAGACCGGGCAGACAAAATTTATCATCAAGGGCTCGTCCGAGTCTGCCGTGCAGGAGGCGAAGCGTGAACTTGCCGTTCAACTGGCCGAGCGCGTCACACTCACGATGCTGATTCCAGCTTCCCTTCGTGCGTTTGTCATCGGTGCAGGCGGTAAGAACATCCGGTCCATCACAGATGACACGGGTGTGCGCATTCATATTCCACCTCGCACTGAGGAGCAAACGCCAGCCACCGACGAGTCGGGCGATCTTTTGCTGGGCGAGCAAATCGAAATCACTATCGAGGGCGACTCATTTAATGCGCAGGATGCACAGGCGCGGATCCAGGAGATCGTCGCGGAGCGCACCTCTAAGATCACACAACGCCTGACGCACATTGAGCCAGTCTTTTTCCCCTTTTTGCTTGGTCCCGAGGGTGCAGGTATAGCAGCGCTTACGCAGACGATCGGCAAAGGCGAGGTGTCTGTCAAAGTGCCGGCGCAGCGTGAGCGTGCGGCTATTGTCGTGAGTGGTGAGCGGTCACTCGTACCTCTTGTTGTCCAAGCGATCGATGCTCAGGTCGACGACATGCGTCGCTCGTTCCGCACCATTAGCTTCAACATCTCCAAGCGGCAGCATGCGTTCCTTGTGGGTGAGAGTGCTTCCGACATTCTCGCCAAGACGCAGTGCAGCATTGAGCTGCCGCCGTCGAACGAGCCCTCCGAGGCCGTTACCATCCGCGGTCCGCAATCGCAGCTGCCGCAGGCCCTCACTGCTGCCATCGAACGGGCCAATGCCGTCGCTGTGGAGACGATTGATCTGCATGCCATGCACGCAGATGCGGACGCTGCACACTTCCGACACCTGCTGCGGTGGCTCGGTACGTACGCGCCTCGCGAAGACAGTGTCCAAGTGTTCTTGCCACGTACCGATGAAGGGCATGTCGAGGTCGTGAGTGAGGACGCCGATGCGGCTCGGCGCATTGCTCAGGCAATCGAGCACCAGCTGCGTCTGGTGACGCCGCCATGTGTGCGTATCATGGAAGTGGATCCTTTGACGCACGGCTTTATTATTGGCAAAAAGGCCCAGAACCTCAAAGGGTATGAGGCACGGGGCGTCGATGTTATGCTGCCGCCGGAGCACTCGGGTCGAGACGACGTTCTTCTCGTATACCGCCGCGGCAAGGATGCGGAGGAGGCAGCAAATGTGCTGGATGATGTGCAGAATGCGATTGCCTCGGCGGCGGCAGCCGCTGCTGATCTTCGGACCGTGCACTTTAGCGTCCCGCGCAAATTCCACAATGTGATCCGCGGAACGGACGGCACGGTGCTGAATGCCCTTATCGGTGAGGACCGTATGCTTGTGTCGATGGGTGGACGCATTCCCGTGAAGACCGTTAGCGAGCCCCTCACTGAAGACTCGATCGTCGTGCGTGGACCATGTGAGGCTGTCGCGCGTGTTGTGGCCCAGATCCAGCAGATGGCCCGGGACGCCGAGCAGGACAGTATCGAGAATGGGTTTGTGGAAGAAATCCAGGTCAGGGGTTCTTACCTCCCTCACCTCATTGGCCGTGGAGGATCCAATCTCATCAAGCTCCGCGAAGAGCTTGGCGTACGTTTCGACGTCGGCTCGGAGGAGGGCGACCGGTCTAAGCCGGTGCCCGTCCGCATCACTGGACGCAAGGAATGCGTCGCCGTTGCCAAGGAGCGTCTGCTGGCACAGGTCGAGCGTTTGGCAGACGAGGTCCTGCAAATCAT